ACGTTGGCAGCATGCTTTGTATTTGCTCAGCGAAATGTGTGGTGCGAAGATGGAGCCCAGCGTCGTCAGCTACTCCTCTGGGATCAGTGCGTGCGAGAAAGGTGGCCAGTGGCAACGCGCGCTTTCGCTGCTCAGTGAGATGTGGTGTGCGAGGCTAGCCCGCGAAGTCATCAGCTACAGCGCCAGTATCAGCGCGTGCGCGAAAGATGGGCAGTGGCAGCAGGCGCTATCGTTGCTGAACGAGATGCGAGGTGCGGAGTTAGTTCCCAACGTCATTAGCTACAGTGCCGCAGTGAGCGCGTGCGAGAAAGGCGACGCGTGGCAGCAGGCGCTGGCTTTGCTCTTCGAGATACGAGCGGCGAGGTTGGAACTGGACGTCCTCATTTACAACGCCGGAATCAGCGCTTGCGGGAAAGATGGTTTTTGGCTACAGGCTTTGTCTCTGCTCAGGGAGGTGTTCGAAGGGAGTCTGAGGCCACAAACAATCAGCTACAACGCTGGGATTTCCGCATGCGGGAACGGCGAGCAGTGGCAGCGGGCTCTGGCGCTGCACAGGGAGATCTGGAAAGCTAAGTTGACGGCCGATCGCATCAGCTACACCGCTGTGATCACGGCATGCGATTACGGCGGACAGTGGCAGCAGGCCCTGCTCATGATCGACGAATTGTGGGACTCAGAAATTGAGCCCAATATTATCGTTTACGGTGCTGGAATCAGCGCGTGCGACACAGGCGGTTGCTGGCAGCATGCACTGTCCTTGCTCAGTGCTCTGAACGAGGCGACGCTGGAGCAGGATGTTATTTGTTGTAACGCTGCAATCAGCGCGTGCGGGCGAGTTGGGCAGTGGCAGCATGCGCTGCTGCTGCTCCGCGGCTTGCGGGATGCGGCGTTGGAACCCAACATTGCCAGCTGCAATTCTGCCATGGCCGCGTGCGCGAAATTCGGGCATCGGCGGCTGGTATTGACACTACTCTCTGAGGCGAGGGAGGCGAAATTAGAGCTAGATGCATTCAGTTACACCGCTGGAATCGGTGCGTGCAAGGATGGTACCTGGCAGTTGGCGCTGTCGCTGCTCAGCGAGATGCTGGAGGCGGTCTTGGCGACCAGCTCGGCGAGCTTTATATCAGCAGCCAGCGCCTGCGAGAAATGCCAGCAATGGCAGCGAGCATTGCTGCTGCTCTTTCAGATGCGGGCTGCGGAACTTGAGCCCGAAGTCAATGCCCACAATTTGGGGATGAGCGCATGCGGAAATAATGGGCAGGCCCGGCAGGCGCTGTTGTTGTTCAACGAGCTGCGGGAGGCGGCATTGGAGCCGGACGAAATCAGCTACAGCACGGTAGCCCGTGCGTGCGAGCAGGGCCATTTCTTTCATGCGCAGTGCCATTGCAGTGATGAGTTGGATCAGCGCGCGCTGCGCACCATCAGGAATGGTCTCGGGCCCACCGTTCTGCGAACACACTGCGGTGAGAGTGAGAGAGCACAGGAAAGGCGGGGGAATCTTTCCAGAAACTGTTCGAGTGCACCCCTGTCGAGAATGGACCCCCCCAGCGTATAACTCCGAGTTTGGCCCACATTTTCTTGTCCAATGCAGAGGGTGCACAGTCAGGAATTTGTGTCGCCATACCCCACGTTCCTTCTCACCCTCCTCCATGACGGACTCCCCGCACCGTCCAAAAGCACCTGAGGACTCCTGGACCTCACAGCAAGAGTGCGTTCCGTGGACGCTTGGAGTGGGGGAGGGGGCTCGAACCGGGCACAACCCTTTCCCCCTGAATTGCAAGGGTGTGGGGGTCGACCCCCCCACCTCCCCGCTAGGGGAGGGGTGTGCGAACCGCCGCCCCCCCCCCACCCTGAATTGCAAGGGGGGGGGTCGAACCGCCCCACCCCCCACTCGCCACTGGCAAACTACGACGGCGAGCGCTGGCGCCGGCGATGGCGCCGTCGGGCAGCGACTTCGACGACGACGGCGACGGCGACGACGACGACGCCGCCGCCGCCGACGACGGCGACGACGACGATGACGACGACGAGGACGACAACGACGACGACCACGACGACGACGAAGGAAACGACGATGACGATGGAAACGACGACGACGACGACCGAGCCCTGGTAGGTTGCTATGGAATCTCGATCGAGCCCTAGTATGACTCTATTTGTGCTGGACCGAGTCCTTGTAGGGTGCTATGGGAGTTGGGATGGACTTTAGTAGGTTTCCATTGGAGTTGGGTCCAGCCGTGACAGGATTCTACGAGAGTTGGATCCAACCCTGGTAAGAGTATTAGCGCTGGATCGATCCCTGGTGAGATTCTAGCTGAGCTGGATCCAGCCCTAGCAGGATTCTGTTAGGGGTGGATCGAGCCCCAGTGGGTTTCTATTAGAGCTGGATGACGCCTGGAAAGACTCTAGTAGAGCTGGGTAGAGCTTTCTTCGGATTCTTTTATATTTGGACCCAGTCCTAGTAGGATTCTGTCGGAGCTGGTTCGAACACTGGTCGGAGTCCATGACAATTGGATTAAGTTCTAGTAAGATGATGTTCGGCCTGGGTCGAATCCCATTCTGATTCCATTACCGCTGTGGGTCGAGCCCAGATGAGATTCGAGGCTGGGCCCAGCCCTCATACGATTATGAGAAAGCTGGACCGAGTACACTTAGGATTCTTTTGGAGCTGGATCCAGCCCTGGTACGACCTTACTAAAGCTGCATTGGGTCCCAGTAGGCCACCATTGAAGCTGGATCTTGCCACAGTGGGTTTCTATTAGATAATGATGAGGATGGGGATGACGACGATGACGGTGACGATGATGACGACGACAATGATAATAATGATGGTGATGATGACGGTGGTGATGACGGTGGTGATGATGGTGATGCTGATGCTGATGCTGCTGCTGCTGATGATGATGCTGATGATGGCGATGATGGTGGTAATGATTATGTTGATGCTGGTGATGGTAATGATATGGTGGTGGTGATGATGACGGTGGGGTCTATAATGATGATGCTGATGCTGATGATGCTGATGATGCTGATGATGCTGATGATGCTGATGATGCTGATGATGCTGCTGATGATGATGATGCTGATGATGATGATGGTGATGATGATGATGATGATGATGATGATGATGATGATGATGATGATGATGATGATGATAATGATGATGATGCTGATGTCGATGACGATGGCGATGACGACGAGGGTGAAGACGACCTCTCCCCCCACTCGCTGGCGCTGGGCGCTGGCGCTGGCGGCAGATGTGCCGCCGCCGCCGCCGCTTACGTTGTCGCCGTCGCCGGCGTCGTCGTAGGCGCCGTCGTAGGCACTCTCGTCGCCAACTTTTTTGCCAACGGCGAAGAGGCGAGGGGGGTGGAGGGCAGTTCGAGAGGCCAGTTTCCGCGGGGGGGAGGCCTCCCGGGATTCCCTGGCGCGCCCACTGTTTTTTTACCTGGGGGAAGGGGCGGTTCCGACGTGTCGCGGGATGTTTTCCAAGCAAGCGTCGACAAAACGCGTTCTCTGGAACGTAATCCACGAAAGAATTTCCAGGATGCATACCAATTCAGACATCGGGCCCTCCTTAAAACATCGAGGCGTGCGGTTTGTCGCCATTTGTGGCCTTCCGACTTTTGAGCCACGGAGCCGCGCCAAAATGAGGGCCCATATGCGTAACGTCAGGGGAGGCAAAGCCACCCGGACCGGACATTTGGCGCTTACTAAACGGCCTTGGGCGTTTACTGAACAGCCCTGCCCTGTTCGATGCCCTCTTTGGGCGCGTCTGCTCAACGACTCAGCGTGTCAGGGTGATTATTCCTTACGCCGTGGGTTTTGACTTCTACAACAGGGGCTCGGTGCTAACGGGGGTCAGCCGATCCCTTCTGGCTGGCCCGGGCTTGGGAGCCACGGGGGGGGGGCGGTTCCTGTTCGCCTGTCCTGTTCTCCTCCTCCTCCTCCTCCTCCTCCTCCTCCGCCTCCTCCTCCTCCTCCTCCCTCCTCCTCCCTCCTCCTCCCTCCTCCTCCCTCCTCCTCCCCCTCCTCCCCCTTCCCCCTCCCTGTGATTGGAGAGCTACTGAGCGGCCGCCGCTGAGCTTCGCGACAGGGCCCCGGTAGCCGACCCAGACGTGGGCTGACCCGGGCAGTGTGGAGTCGGGCGCGTCCCTCCACAGGAGGAGTACTCCAAAATCGTGCGAGCATAGTCTGGGGACGATCTGTTTGACCAGATCTGAGTGTCCCTCTACAGGAGGAGTACTCCAAAATCGTGCAGACATAGTCGGGGGACGATTTTTGTTTGACCAGTTCTGAGTGTTTTTCAATTTTTCGTGACCGTTCTCCCCTTTTCGCCCCGAATCCGCCTGTAGGAGGACATGCCGACCTAAAGGTAGCGCGTCCTTGAAGAAGACGATGCTGGGTGCGAAACGCTGGTTTCCAGGAAGGGGTCAAGAGATCCTTGGGCCCACGTCGTGGAAGGTTTGCGACGTCGGAGGAGAGAGGAGGAATGCGAGGAGGGGGAGCAGGAGGGTAAGGAGGTCGAGGAAACCGAGGAATGGCTTCTCCCACTGCTCCTGCTGCTCCTCCTGTTGCCACTGCCTCGTCCTCTTATTCCTCCTCTTCCTCCTCCTCCTTCTCCTCCCTCCCCTTCCAGGGCATCAACGTGAATACGTCGAGAAGTACCCGTACTTAGTTTCACATCGCAGCCGGTCGGTTGGTCACCTTGCTTCGAGATCGTGGCATCATCATCATCATCATCATCATCATCAGCATCATCAGCATCACCACCAGCAGCACCATCATTATCAGCATCAGCATCATCATCATCATCATCAGCATCAGCATCAGCATCAGCATCATCATCAACAACATCATTCATCTTATCATCATTATCACCGTCATCCGCGCAACATCATCATCATCATCAGCATCATCATCATCATCATCATCATCATCATCATTATTATCATCATCATCATCGTCAACATCATCATCCCTCCCCTCCCTGAATCCAGGCTCAAGGCTCAAACCGCCCTGCCGCCCTGCAGCATCTGGCTGGCCTTTCCCAGGATGGGCCCGCTCCGTGGCGCAGTCCTGCTGGGACCTCTGCTCGCCGTCGGGGCGCCCGCGGCCCGTCCCGCTCCAGAGCCTGTGGAGGCGCTGGACGTGGCAGCGTTCTCTGGCCGGTGGTACCAGACGTACGGCAGCATCCGAGGGAGAAACAACGGCATGAAGGTGCACGTTCGACGGTCTGCGCAGACTTTCTGGATCGGCGCCTGGGCCCCCCTGGCGGCGCCTCCAGCGCCGCCCCTGGCGCGCTCCGCGCGCGAGGGAGGGGAGCCCGTCGCAGATCCAGGAAATCCGTGGGGGCCGTCGAACATTCTGTTTATGCAATTTGTTCCCCCCAACGTATCTCCGTGAAGTACGCCACCGAATTGGGTGCCAGTTGCGTGTACGTGGAGTACGAGGGCAACGTGCCGAACAGCAGCGCCCTCTCCGTGCGGAACTCGGTGAGCGTGCTCGGCTTTCGCGTCGACGTGACCGGCTATGCAACGCCGAGCCCACACCGCGCCGGCGAGTTCGAGGTGGCGTTGGGGCCTCCCGGCCATCCACCCGCACAGCCGCCTGCTTTCACGGCCGCCAACTTCGTCGTCGTCGCCTTGGGGCCAGTGGTGGACAGGCGGTACGACTTCGCCGTCATCACGGACCCGACGCTGCTCTCCTTGTACGTGCTGGCGCGGGACGTGGGCCGCTTTCGCAGCAGATACGAGGCCAGGGTCCTCAGCACGGTGACGGAGATGGGCTTCAGCTCCATCCTGAATCGGCCATTGAGGACGAATCAGGTCGGCTGCCGCTATCCACCCGCATCCGGGGAGGAGCCCGTTCTGATCGTGTAGCACGAGCCGGCTCTGCAAGGGACCTCCCCGACGCGCTCCGCACCCATTCCTCCAGGCCGGCGCAGGGCCTCCGGGAGCGCAGCGCCGAGCAACATTTGGTCAGTGATGCGCGAGCGAGCAGTCTGCGGTTTCGCGCTGTACTGCGGTGGGGGCCTTCGTTGAAGAATGTGCCCAGGAGGCTCCACACCCTGGAGGATATTCAGAGGCGGCAAAGGTACCCATACCTCTACCCTCCCCTCGTCTTCCCCTCTTTGGGCCTCCTGGGAGGTCCTCGTCGCCACCGCTGGATTCGCCTCGAACTTCTGGTCAGAACACACCCCGGGAGATGTCTGGGGAGTAGCGGTATCGGTACATTTTGGTTCCCCCAGATATTTTATCTGATGAAGGCGGCGGTGATATCCACGGCGAAGCCTCAGTCGGTGTTCCACTGGCCTCCAGACCCTGGATTCCTCATCCAAGGGTTCCTTATCCAGTGCCCACACTGTGTGCGAGGAGAGTGCTGCGGGTACGAGCGCAACGTTTCGAAACACAAGAGGCAACATTTGTTTGATTAGCACCTGGACTGCGCCACCTCATCGGTACCCGACTTGGTGGTTCGGTCGAGCGCAACAGCAGGTCGCAGGTCGCCTGTATCTCAATGTCGTACGGTGTCGATGGGTCTGTGAAATCGATGTTTTAATCCATGGTGCTATAACTATATCTGCCAGATGATATGCTCTCCTCGTCCTCCTCCTCCTCCTCCTCATCCTCCTCTGCAGACGGCCTGTCACCTAGACGAGAACTCGCCCGTGGCACATTGCTCATTTGGTGTTCATCCACTGGCGGTGGCATCCAGCGCTGCGAGACACGCCCATCGTCACGCAGGCGCCGTGGGTGAGGCGGGGGGGGAGCTCTTTCTCGCGACTCCCTCTGTTGGCACGACGGGAATGTGTGTCCGAGGGAATTCCGTCCTGGACCCTGAGCCCCGGGGCGCTTTCCCCAGGATCAGCTTTTTCAGTCCAGGCGTTCGTCGTTCGACGGTCCCCAGAGTCCCGGGGATGCCCCCCCCCCCCCCCGGGAAGGCCGAGATTCGGGAGAGACTCCGCTCCAGTGCTTGTTTTTCAGAGTACCCCTGGCCCCTCTCTCTGGCAAGCACGGGCGCGGGCGTGGCTGGCTACCCGCTCCCCCCCTCTCCTCGAACGAGCTCGGGGGGGGGGTCCGCCACGCGCAGAGGGGGGGAATGGGGGGGGGAGGGGAGGCCTTCTTAGACGCACACCTGCCCTCTCAGAAGGCGCGGGCCTTATCTGTAGATGTGCAAGGCTGTCGCCCTCTAAGAAGCAGCCTCCTTCTGCGAAGCTTTCTCCCCCCTCCTGGAGGGTTTCTCCGAAGGGCTCAGGCGTCCCGTCCTCCTCCTCCCCTCCTCCTCCTCCTCCTCTCCTCCTCCTCCTCCTCCTCCCCCCCCTCCTTCCTCCTCCTCTCCGCCTCCTCCTTCCTCCTCCCCCCCTCCTCCTCCTCTCCTCCTCCTCTCCTCCTCCTCCTCCCCTTCCTCCTCCTCCTCCTACTCCTCCTCCTCCCCCTCGCCCTCCCCCTACTTCCCTCCTCCTCCCTCTCCTCATCCTCCTCCTCCTCCTCCTCCTCCTTCTCCTACCTCCTCCTCCTCCTCCCTCCGCCTCTCCTCCCTCTTCCTCCTCCTCCTCCTCCTCCTCCCCGCCTCCTTCCACATCCTCCCTCCTCCTCCTGCTCTTCCTCCTCATCATCGTCCGCCTCATGCTCCTCCTCACTCCTCCTCCTCCTCCTCCATCATCCCTCCTCCCTCCTCTTCCTCCTCCTCCTCCTCCTCCTCCTTCTCCTCCTCCTCCATCTCGGGTCGCCTACGGCCCCAGGGGAAACCGTGCACCCCCTCCACCGCCTTGTGCGCGCCGCCAAGGGGCGGGGCGCCTCCCTGGCCCGCCGGCTTCCCTCCAGCGGGAGCCCCGCTCCTCGACGGGAGACCTTTGGCAAGGGCCGCTGCGAGCGCGTGGCCCACTCTGGCCTCCCCAGCCCGCTCGGGACCAGGCCGAGGGGCCCGATGCAGCTCGTGAGCCCGCAGGGGCAAGCTCAGTATCGTTTCACCGATCCCCGTCCCCATCGGAGGCGGAGGTGGAGGAGGAGGAGGAGGAGGAGGAGGAGGAGGAGAAGGAGGAGGAGGAGGACGAGGAAGGAGACGGGAGGAGGAGGAGGAGGAGGAGGAGGAGGAGGAGGTGGAGAGGAGGAGGAGGAGGAGGCGGAGGAGGAGGGGAAGGCGGAGGAAGGGGAGGAGGAGGAGGAGGAGGAGGAGGTAGGGAGGGATGAGGAGGAGGGAGGAGGAGGAGGAGGAGGAGGAGGAGGAGGAGCATGAGGCGGACGATGATGAGGAGGAAGAGCAGGAGGAGGAGGGAGGAGGAGGAAGAAGAGGAGGAGAAGGAGGAGGAGGAGGAGGAGGAGCCTAGCTCCATCACGATCTCCACTATCCCACCAGCCCAGTTAGGGGTGTGCCCCTCGAAACCCGAAGGGGACAGCCCATTTCCCCATCTGCGGGGGAACACCGGCAAGTGGGGCCTGGGCCACGCCCGTGGGGATAGGGATCGGTTATACGATGCTCAGTTGCAGCTCGTGAGTCCGCATGAGCAAGCACCTCTTTGAGAGCTCATGCAGAGCCGTCTTGGCTACAGGTGGTACTGTTCCACATCGTGCAGCACCCCACCGAGCTGGCTGAGTTCTCCTTGATGCATGTCTGGCTTTAGACGCTTCCCTGACGCAGTTGCCCCCCCCCCCCCCCCTCCCCCCCCCCCCCCCCCCCCCTCCCCCCCCCCCCCCCACACACACACGAAAAACTCCTCGTCCGAGGCGGGCCCTGGGCCTCGCCTCCGAAGGCCGAAGGCCCCGGCCAGGGGCGGCGCAGGCTCCAGGAAGAGAGCTGCCCGCAGCCGATGCCGAGCAGCCGGCAGCGAGAGGCCCAGAACGTCCGACGTGTCGGGGGAGAGGAGGAGGAGGAGCACGAGGAGGATACGGAGGGGGACGAGGAGGAAGAGGAGGAGAGAGAAGGAGGAGGAGGAGGAGGAGTAGGAGGAGGAGGAGGAGGAGGAGGAGGAGGAGGAAGAGAAGGAGGAGGAAGAGGAGGAGGAAGAGGAGGAGGGGAGGGGAGGAGGAGGAGGCGGAGGAGGAGGAGTGGAGGAGGCAGGAGGAGGCGGAGGCGGAGGCGGAGGGGAGGCGGGGAGGAGGAGGAGGAGGAGGAGGAGGAGGGAGGAGAGGAGGCGGAGGCGGAGGCGGAGCGGTGGAGGTGGAGGTGGAGGAGGCGGAGGAGGGGAGGAGGAGGAGGAGGAGGAGGAGGAGGAGGAGGAGGGGAGGAGGAGGAGAGGGGAAGGGGGGAGGAGGAGGAGGAGAGGAGGAGGAGGAAGGAGGAGGAGGAGGTGGAGGAGGAGGAGGAGGAGGAGGAGGGGAGGAAAGAGGAGGAGGAGGAGGAGGAGGAGGCGGAGGAGGCGGAGGAGGCGGAGGAAGAGGAGCAGCAGGAGGAGGAGGAGGAGGAGGAGGAGGAGGAGGAAGAGGATGAGGAGGAGGCGGCGGAGGAGGAGGAGGAGGAAGAAGCAGAGGCCGAGGAAGAGGAAGAGGAAGACGACTAATATTACCTTGTGCTGAAACAACTTGCTGCACAGTTTCTGCACCTCGACCCGCGACAGGTCGTGAACCTCCATTTTTTCTTGCTGGTGGACCCGTTGGTCAATACCGATAAGACCCTCACGACGATCGCCCCGTTGGTTGATGCGACGTACAGGTGCACCAATGTTTCAACGATATGCCCAGACGCCCTTACCGACAGACGCGCTTTATGACGCAATGGCGCAATGGGCTCGTGAAGGCGTTCGGGGCCACGGCCCCTCCACCCGCGTCCTGGCCCGACGTTGGGTTCCGAGCGCCTCCCATCCGCTACCCCCGGTGCCGTGATACCACCGGCGCCTCCAGCACCAACAACCGACCCGCACCAGTCCCACAGCAACCGACCCACGCAACAGACTCGAACCGGCGCCTCCCATCCCACAGCAGCCGACCCACGTCCACCCTACGCCGACCCACAGCAACCGACCCACCGCAGCCCCAAAACAACGGACCCACGCAACATACCCGGGCCTCTGCCGTCCCGCAGCCGCCCCAGCACAACAGACCCGCAGCAGAACACCAACCACCCAGATTCTTGGCCCAGCTCCGACCCCAGTGTCTGCCCCAGTTCCGACTCCGACATCGACGCGGTGCAGCGAACGCGACAGGGAGCGGACAAATCTTGTCCCCCCCTCACCACATGAAGCACCACGACGTCGAACACCGCGATCTCGTGCACGCGCAGTTTTGCACGCTAGCCGGGTGGACGCCGGCGTGTCGCCACTTCTGGGGGAGGAGGATGAGGAGGATATCCGAGCAGTGCCGCACGCCAGCCAGGTGGACGCCGACGTTTCGCCCCCTCCGGGGCAGGACCCGCTGCAGGATGTGGACGGCGAGGTGGGAGGAGGCCTCGGGGGCCGACGTCGGGGCCTCCGAGGCCGATGCCAGGGCCTCCCCGACCGAAGATCCGATCTCACACCTCTTCTGCCGACCAGCTCGCCGACTCTCTCGCCGACCATATCACCGACTCCCGCACCGACCAGCTCACCGACTTCCGCACCGACCAGGTCACCGACTCCCGCACGGGCCAGGTCGCCAACTCCCTCGCCAACCATTTCACCGACTCCCGCACCGACCAGCTCACCGACTCCCGCACCGACCAAGTCACCGACTCGTGCGCCGACCAGCTCGCCGAGTCCCTCGTCGACCATGTCACCGACTCCCGCGCCGACCAGCTCACAGACTCCCTCACCGACCAGGCCCGATCAGCTAGCCGATTCCCGCGCCGGCCAGCTCACCGACTCCCGCACCGACCAGGTCTCCGACCCCTGCACCGACCAGCTCCCCGACTCCCTCGCCGACCGTATCACCGACTCCCGCACCGGCCAGTTCACCGACTCGTGCACCGA